GGGAGAGGAGAGGAGGAGGAGGAGGACGATGGGAACGAGACGGAGGAACAGGAGACGGAGGAGGATGAGGAGGAATGAGGACAAGATGGAGGGAGGGAGAGAGGTCGGGAGGATGCGGATGAGGATGATGATGACGATGCGCATGATGATAAGGAGGGAGGGAGGGAGGGAGGCAGGGAAGGAGGGAGGGACGGAGGGATGCGGAGCAGGAGGAGAAGGAGGAGGAGGAGGAGGAGGAGGGGTTGGAGAGGGGGAGGAGGATCATGATTGATGAGGAAGGAGCATGATGAGAAGGAGGAGGAGGCGGCAGGAGGACCGCGAAAGGAGGAGGAGGACGAGATTGGAAGAGGAGGAGGGAGGAGGCGGGGCGAGGAGGAGGATGAGGAGGAGGAGGAGGTAGGAGGAGGGGGAGGAGGAGGAGGCGGATGAGGAGGAAGAGGAGGAGGGGGGGGGGGAAGGATGCGGAGGAGAAGGAGGAAGAAGAGGAAGAGTAGGAGGGGGGAGGATCGCACGCCACTGGGAGAAGGGAAGGGGAGGAAGCCCAAACATCCGCAGGGAGGAGGAGGAGGAGTGAGGAGGAGGAGGGGACGGAGGAGGAGAGGAGGGAGGAGGCGAAGGGGGAGCGAAGGAGGAGACAAAAACAGGAGGAGGAGGGAAGGGGCGGGGGGAGGAGGAGAGCAGGAGGAGGAGGGGAGGGGGATGAGGATGAGGAGGAGGAGGCGGAGGAGGAGGGGAGAGGAGAGGAGGAGGAGGAGGAAGAGTGGAACGGGTAGGAGGAGGACAGGGAGGAAGAGGAGGAGGAGGAGGAGGAGGAGGAGCAGGAGCAGGACGAGCTAGCTTGCAGCTCTTTGCCTGCTGATCTCCCAAGGCTCACTCTGGAAATCGAGCCAGTCGGCAGTACATTGCGCAGCGCGAGCAGGCATGATGTTCGCAATCAGCATTGTAGTATGTGTGTGCCAGGTCAGCTTAGCGATTCTAGATGTCACGGTTTCCGCCCCTCTTCTCTCTTCCTTTGCTTTTGCCGCTGTCTCCCTCGCCCTACTCATTCCAAATTTGTTCGGCGACGGCAGCCGTTGACCTCTCGTGTCAGGATGGCGTAACTGACCATTTGTTCTTCCAAAGAGAGCACGAGAGAATTCCGGCACAGGAAAAAACAATTGCGCCTACATTGTCATCCACATTGTCATCCGCTTTTGTCTCCCTTTCTTGCCCCGGAAACTGACCACAAGGAACTCTCCGTTAGAACCGCTTTGAGTGGAGACGGAGTCTAATCGTTTGGTGAATTGCAGATTCTTGTTTGACTAATACATCAATTGTGTGACCTGTGTACGCGTACGTGTTTGGGATGGACGCGAACAGTTTTCATGTACATGCTCTATTCCCTACTTGTAACGTGCGCGTGGTTTTGCAGACACTTCCGACACGGACCGAGAAGGAACTCATCCATGCTGCTGCGCGTGTGTGTGGAACAACGACAACAGGGGATCTTTGGACATTGTGTAGGGGAATCGCGACGGTCGCTCAGATATGGTGTTGTGACGGTTGCCCGGATGACTCCAGGAGGACTGCGTTATGCCACGTGCGGTGTGCAATTGCCCAGTGGCTCCAGCACGGAAGAGAGTCGCGAACCACATGGCATTTATGGTTTTCCTGGGTTTCGCAGAGGGCTTACACCACCTCTGTAAACACAGCGATCGAAAAGGTTGGGTCCGAGTGGCCCTGCGAGGGGCCAGACCACAACTACAGACGTGCATTTTGTTCAAACGATTCGACGCACCAGCGTGGCACGCATACATTCACGGAGTGTTCAGTATGTGTTGGACCCTCGGAAATCACCATGAACTCCAGGCATTATGTTACGTTGCGTTTTCATGCGAGTCGAATGTGTGGTACTATGGCATGTGTAAGACTGTGCGCGCACGGAACAAGCATGCTTGGTTGGGGGACTACACGGTTCAAGGAACACGCACAATCTACATATATGCATAGGGGAAGACAGACACATCGGCCACGGTACAGAACTTGGAGGGACACGAATCCTGCATCACTTGTGCTTGTGCCGGTATGTTTTGGGACGCATTGCCACATTGCCAAGCTTGAGTCATTGTGTATTCGGGTGTTGCGACCGCCAACCCAGCAGACCGACGGTCCAGCACGTCGGGAGCCGAGGCCATTCCCACGCCCTTTCCCATGCTTCCGGAACAAACCATCCAGGACGCGAGAATTGGAGCTCAATATTTTGTTGCAGATGCGGGAGAAATCAACGCTGCGATCACATTTCCATACTCAGGCGTGCACGTTCGGAATGTTGTTGGCGTGGTGTGCCAATGTACTATCCCTCGCGCGCGTGGAAATGGTCAGACAGATGTACCACAGGGGACGAGAGATGCTTGCGTTATTTCTTGGGGAGCACGGCACATGCCTCGACTACAAGAAACAACAGCGACACGGTTTTTTGTGCAACTACTGTTTACATGTATGGTCCTTGGCAAAGCTACTCCCTGGTAATGCACGGTCCCGGGCGCGTCAGAAAATCGGAAGGTTTCTTTGTTCCGGGAATCTCCTGCCCAGGTCTACCTTCCGATTCAAAATCCATACTACACACAAGTGCGTACTACATGGTGCACGGACGATTGTGCAGCGGTACATGGGTGGGACACGTGTGTCGACACTACCCTGGTCCATACATGCGCGAGTACATCACTGAAAAATGCCATGTGGTGGCAGCACGACCTGCGAAAGTGTCTGACAGTATTACGCAACAGCACGACGTGGCACGCACATTTAGCATGGATGCGTACAGGTACATATGTGAACACTCAGAGTATCAGAGCCAGCTGTCATACAATGTATTTTGGTGCCCACAATATTGGGACATACCCAGCAGCGTCGACACTACACTGCTGGCAAGGGATCTTGCGGACCAACTCTGGCGACACTTCTGGACCTACCAATTCCCAGGGGCATGCCCACGGTTGGCGCGATGTTTGGGGCTACGGTTGCACAGGGGATGTACGGAACAACAGATTGGGGCGTTATATTTCCCGGGAGTTTCTGAATTTATGGGGTCCCCTTCTCCACTCGAGGAACTACGAGAGCACTTGCGACGAGAACTCCATGATTACTGTTGGGTCCCTGTGGACAAAGATCCGCACCGGCGGATTGCCCTGCCATGGTGGTTCTGCTACATCTGGCGGCTTGGACGGACATTTGCGGAAGACTCGGACCACTACGTCG